GAAAAATATTGTGAAATATGGTTTTTGAATAAAAATGTAATTGTCAGTTGCCCTGTTTTATTAGATTTCATTGTTAACTATATTGTTAAAAGCCTATGTCAATATCTAAGAAATCGAATACCTCCCGCTCACATCAGTTTATTAAAGAAAGCTGTCTTGTCTCTCTACTTTACAGCTTGATTTTTAGTCAAGATCCGTAGTCAAAATACGACTTATATTATATCGGGCTTTTCAGTTTGACTTGACAGTTCAATTTACCATATTTAACAATTAGACCTCGAGGTCGAGTGGACTACGAGCTAATAGCCCATGAGGCCGAGTCCGTTATAAACATACTAATCGGTCAAATCAGAGGAGATATCAGTAGTATCCCTTTATGCTTTGCGCGCGTGGTTTGTTGACAAAATGGCTGCTATTTCCGGTGATATGCCGGGTAGTAAGTTTCCGGTCCAGAAAATTGTCTTTTTTGCATCTTAACAAGGGAAGTTCCGAAGTTATTTGCGGTCTGGTTGATTTTCTTTGTATTTTTCTTAATTTTTTGAAGTAATGTTTGTTTTACGCATGAGAAAATTCCTGTTTTGTAGTTGACATTCGCGGTTTCAATTCTAATTATATAACATGACGATCGGTTCTGTTTTTACTGTTTTTGCTGTTTTTACACCTGTGTTCTTTGAGCTATTTAAGTTTAGTTAAGTCAGATCTATAGAAAATAAGTCATACAAAGGTACAGTCAAACAGATTTCATATGCTAAATAGAGCTTGAAAACCCTTGAAATTTGCAGAGTTCAGGAGAATCGCGTATCTTGATTAGGCGCAAGGTTGATATCGCTATCAGCGAGCTATGCTACAGTTTCTGCCACACAAAAAGTTGAAGATAAAACACACTGAAATGCGAGTGTCAAAGTACACATTAGTATATGCATGTTTGAACCTTTTTTTGAACGATTTTCAATATAAAACATGTCTAAAAGAACAAACTCGTGTCATCGTAAGGTTATTAAAATGACCTTACCATGCAAAACGCGCATTTGGTTTCTTATGCAGCATTGAAGCTAAAAACCCTACTCCATAAATAACATAAACTAACAGAAAGCAAACAACTAATGAACAAAGTAAGACTGACTGTTTATTTAAAATAAATACCATAAAACAGAAAGCAAACAACTAATGAACAAAGTAAGACTGACTGTTTATTTATAAACAGTTTCTTGCCGGAGTTCAGTTTTAAGGTCATTTCAAGTAATATTTCAAACAATTAAAACAAGTTTTTACTAACCTCTAAATCTGACGAAATAAAAATACGGACTATAAAGTAGGACTTCTTATTCTGTCAAACAGTTTTTCAACCTTTTGACCGTCCACAGCGACAGGAATCAAAGTAACTTGTCTCTTCGACAATTTCCTTATCGATTTTATCTACAAAACAGTCCACTTGTCGACAAATAAGGTCTAAAAAACAATTCCTTTTATCGATGCTTGAAAATTGTTCTTGCTTATACAACGAATGTATAAAAAAGAAGAGTCTTAGATAGTTTCTTTCTATAATCGAAATTCTAGAGATGAAATTGACGAACGGGTCAAAGTTTCCCGCCATTGATCTTCACTCGGCCAAGACCAAAAACAAGTGATGACGTCACATAAAAAAACGGTAATATAGTCTGAAACGCAATGCATTGTGGGGTACTACTGTTCCCTCCTCTGCGGTCAAATAATGAAAACAAATTGAAATATCCTTAAAATAATTTATTAATGAGATTGATTTTCCTGCGAGTGGTCTATCACAATTAGACCATTAGTACTGAGAGTAGCCAGTCACAGCGCAGTATGAGTGATAGACCATTAATATGTTTATACTAATTTGTGATAGACCACTCGCGGGAAAATCAAAATAAATAAATTATAAATTATTTTAAGGATATTTCAATTTGTTTTCATTATTTGACCGATTAGTATGTTTATACTAGAACAATTAGACCTCTCGGCCTCGTGGACTACGAGCTAATAGCCCATTCGGCCTCGCGGACTCGGCCTCATGGGCTATTAGCTCGTAGTCCACTCGACCTCAAGTCTAATTGTTCATTAGTCTTGTCCTTGTATTTAGAGTGCACGTCACATAAGCATGAAACAATTCTTAATATGTATTGTTAAATAAGATTTAGTTATCAACTAACTAAGAATTCAACAAAGCATAAACACAATGCCAATTATTTAAATTCCTTTTGTAGCATTGTTCTCAATTCTTAGTTAGTTGATAACTAAATCTTATTTAGCACTACATAGTTAAGAATTGTTTCATGCTTATGTGACTTGCACTCTACCGCTTTTGAATGATGAATTATTTGGAGGCGGAGCTTAATCTTGTGGCGGCAAATCTCGAAAGACATCAAGCCTTCTCATTAACTTGCAAATTTACTTATTTGCATAAGATTTTCTCATTATTAAGTCAAATTTCATCGTCAAAATTCTTTATGGATTTAAACAAAATGTTGCACATGGAAATTTAACGAAATAAGCAAGGTGTTACATTTTTTAATTTTTGAATTCTCATGAGGCCCTCGCTATACGCCGAACTTAATAGACCTAATAGGTGTAATAATCATGAAGCAACAGCTTTCAAGAAAATATTGATGCAAATTCTTAATAATTTGGGCAAAAAATGTTGGAGTATATGACGTCATTTACTGAATCCTTTTGTTCTTCCATCTTTTGAATCAAAATTTCTCTGATGTGGGATAATTCCAAGACAAATATTTTCCCGCAATTGTTTTTAATAGATATCAGTGAGTCATATATTTGTATTTCTTGAAGTTTTGAAATAAGGTCATTTTCATGCAAGTAGCACTTTAAATACGACATTTGATTTAGACGCCAAATTTTTAAGTGACGAATTTAATTCCCAATCCCCTCTCGGTCAAAAAACTCACCATAAAACTCACTTTTTCATGTTTCTATTTTCATCCCTTTACAACTACCGATGCTAACTCTTTTACTCATTTTCATAATTCATAATTTCATTCTCATAATTATACTGATATCATCAAAATCCAATTGTTTTCTTCTACTAAGCTAGCTTGTTTATCATAGGAGCAATTCCAATAAAAATGTTTAAACGAACTTCGAAATGGAGTATCTTTAGTCGTGAATTAATATATATGAAGATAAAAACTTAATAAATCGTAATAAAATCGCCGCCTGCGTAACGGCTAAAAATCAACAAAAACAACAAAAAACATCCAAAATTGTGCCAAATTTTAAATTAAAAACTGTAAGCATGCGTTGCCTTTTCAGTATATGGAACATAATGTCCCACACGTATAGGAACGAAAGTTTATCGTAAGACTCGAAGCTAAAGCAGGTAATTTCTTAAATGGTGCTGGGCTACTAGTGGACCATAGTGGGAATTTTCTTCCGGCTTATTAAATATGCACGAGGCTCGTTTTCGTTTGTACAGTCGTTGTAATAAATGACATAAGCCCTCCCTAGTTTGAGCGACAAACCAAAAAATCGAGGAGCCAATACTACGACTTATGAGTCAGTCTAAGAAAATTTGGTGCCAGAAAGCTTTTTTAATGTTAAATGAAGACCCTTTCAGTGAACAGATTCTCACTAAAGTAGTCAAAAAAGTCTCCAAAAACGTTTTTAAAAGTTTTTAAAATAAAATTTAAAGAAATAACTATAGATAATTATATTTCCGAAGTGATACTCATGCTTCGGGGGACTTTTCAAACTTTATCGATTTTCTCAAATTAAAAATCTCTGAAACCTTTTGGTTGTGCCTTTTGAGAAAGGTCCATCTAAAGATTTCATCAGGCAAAGTATGAAGATTTGAACAAGTGGTCGCTGAAACCTTGGTGACACTCCCTCTTAACTCATTGTCGACTGATGTCGATTTGTTGATTTTTGAGCTTTTTCGACCCTAACATCTTGATAAAATAATTGACTTCCATATAAGGTGCTGTCAATAAAACTATTTCGGATTTGAATTCCCTAGGGGGCATTAATTTATGCAGGGCTTTGTAGATTTAGGTCAGACCGTTTGTTTATCGACTGGTTGAGCCTAAATTTACCTAAAAACCCGTTTATAAGTGTTTTTTTGAGCTTTTTGCTGCCACAGGAGCCCCTAGGCTTGCATCATTAAGCTTGACTAGTCGGCAGAGACAATCTTCTGGAAGAAATCAGAGGTGGAAAGCGATTTTTCGAAGACAATGGCTCCAAGTCACGGTTTGTTTTGAACTGGAGACATCATTGTAAGATCGCTTTCCTGGTCCATCTGTGGCAGATTTTCCAACCTACCAAGGTAATTTTGGCAATATTTGACAACCAAAGAATGCAATTGGCCCGATATTTTGCCTGTAGGTGCGGGGGAGCTCACACTTATAAAAAAATTCTTAAAAGAAGAATGCTGCACGATTTATGTCCAAATTTTCCGTCTTCCCATGATGCATTTCGATCGTGCATAGAAGTTTGTTGTACCTGGTCTTCAAAAGAGGGCTGTTTAAAAATCTGGAGTGCATTTGACAAAATGAAAACATCGAAATGAGGACGTTCTATCAAAGGGGTTTGCAAACCAAGTGGACTTTTTGCTAGGAGAACATATTTTGACGCTACAAATTGAGATGAAAATCAGTGTACTCTGCCGTCCTTCAAACTCAGATTTTGGCATTCATTTCAAAGCAGAGTCATGTTTTGTGTCTTTTGTTTCCTCGTTGCGAAATTCTTTTAACTGTAAGATCGACAGTATCTACTAGTAAGTTCGTACGAGCAATTTCAGGGCTCTAGCTTACTATTTCGGCAACTTATAGACTTTTGACGCATAGGTCGAATTCGACCTAAATTTCAAGGGGCAGACGGGAAAGAGTTAAGGTAAAACTAAATGTTCAATCTTTGTGTCACTAAACAAACCAAAAAGCAACCGTAAATTTTCAAGTAAGTTTCAGCTACCTTTAAGCTTTGGTGGAGGTCAAACATTTCTTGTGATTTCGTTAAGTGGGCTTCAACAGATCAACGGATCTTCATCTGGGCTTGTGCAAGCTTTCCTTTGGTATTGGAAACTTAAGTTGTGAGACGCTCGAGAGTCGATGTGTATTCTTGGAAGACGCTGCTTTGATGTTTACTAGAAGCAGTTCTTGGAAAGCATTGTAACGCGATGTCATGATTGGCCAATAGTCGACTTTGAACATTTTGGTTAAGTAACCATGTACAAAAGATTTACATACGACGCTCCGGGAAACAATGTTGAAGCTTAAATAATGTATTCTTTTGAACTTCCCTGGAGACTTGTCTAGAATTCTTTTGTCTATTTTCAATTAAACATTCTCAAAGGTTTTATAGAAAATTAAATTTTATAGATTATGGAACAATTTCACTTTCAATTTCAATTTTAACCTGTAGCTTTTCATCTAATTTTCATCTTCATTTATAACACATCAAAAGATCTAATCTATGCAAATGTCACCCTATGTATGGCAATAAGTTTGATATGAAAAAACTTAAAGAAATAACTATAGATAAGTATATATATTTCCGAATGGATTATTTTTAACGCGGCAGTATGACCTTCTTTTCAGCCCTACAAATCATTAAATACTCGGAATACGCCGGGATACTCGGCTTCGGGGGACTTTTCAAAGGCTTTCTTCAGAAAATACAAAAAAAAATACGGCACAATGGGGAAATTGCGAGACTAACCTAGGCGGGTTTATGTTACATACCGACAATTATACACGTTCAGAAGGATAAGAATGTAAATACACAATATTCAACATTGTTTTTACAATAAATATGCTAAATAGAATAAATAAAAAAGATAAAAAAATTATAAAATATTGCCCAGATATTCATTGTCAGAGAGATCTCCACACAGCAACGTACTATGCGTGTTATACAACACGATAAGGATTACGTGACTCCAGTCTGAAATAGGAAAAGTTAACGATAAATGCATAGAACTACCGCTGGCAAAAAGGTCGGGACCAGATTAGGAAGAATAAAACTTATTTACGTTCTAATTCGCAGGCTCAAACGAACGTAAATTATTTTCTACCTAAATTCCGCCTAAATACAACAACACAACAAATGATGGTTGGATGCTCAGGCAGTCCAGTTACAACAATTTATTAGATCGTTACAATACAATGAATAACATAAGGCTGATCAAAGACCTAAATTATTTGATATGGCAAGTCGATTGGCAGTATCTTCTAGAATATACATGTCCTTGGCCGTGTCACTTTTCCAACGACCATGAAACTTAAGTAATCTCTCAGACAAGTTGGGGTTATTTCTCACTGCAGACGAGGCTCCGCCCGAACGCAAACTATGCAAACCATAAAGCTTGGAATCATAACCTAGAGTAGTTAAACAATCTTTAAACGACTGGAGACATGCAGAATAAGACCACTTGGAAGAACACAACCTATAAGAATTTGATGACTTAAAGAACCTTAGCCTCCTAAATAAAAGATCAGTACTTGAAGGATTGATATCAGCCTCTTGCATGTATCTTTCTACTAGAGAAACAGGACAATATGAATTGTTTAAACAAGGGCGCTAGAACTGAAATTATGACCTATAAGATCCAAAAATTGCTTAATTTATCCAACATATGATAGTCGATAATAAATTTTAAAGTTTTACTTATCTGAAATATACACTGAAATGTCCTCTTAGACACTAAAAAGCACTTGATTTTACGAAATTCATCCAAATGATCGTTACTCGAGCGGTTGTTGCTGAATTTATTACCGCTGTCCTTGTTGTACCAGCCACTGCTGTCTCGCCAGGAACGTTATTCATTAACCGGATTAAAATCACTTTGCCCTTTGGCCGAACACCAAAGCTTTTTAATAATCAATCATATCAAACGGGCAAGCGCCCTTCAAATAGGCCAGCGCCTTAACATGAACATAGGACAGTGCCCACAATACTTATGCATGGGCAAGCGCCCTTCAAATATAGGCCAGCGCCTTATACACTTAACATGAACATAGGCCAATGGCCACGATATCTATATATTCTCTAGGGCGAACCACTGAAATCAAAACGAAGGGCAAGGACCTGCCCCTTATAACGATCCGAACCTAACAAAGAATTTAAATTCCGACCATGACGTAAAGCAAAACTGCCATCGAAAACTTCACGACCTATAATATAATSAACATAAATCCTAGAAATAATAGGCCAAAAATACGAGGAAGGCCAAAATGGAACAACCAAAGTACACACTGCATGGTTAATGAAAAGGAAATTAATAGCCTTCCYGATCATGTCTACTGGCGGAACAACTAAACAGTTCTCTCCRCATAATCTTTGAACAAAGAAATCCACGCCCTCACATCCTGGATTCCAAAATCTAGAATAAAATCTAGAYAGTTTCTTGTTKTAATAATTCGCMAAGCAATCAATAGAATGGGGACCCCAAAGTTCCTCCAAACGCTGAAAACACGGATCCGATATTTGCCAATCATCTACGTCTATCAGGCGACTGATGTAATCGGCCCTATCAATTTCGCTACGAAGGAGCCATTGAATTTCGAGCTGGATATTGTTGGACGCACAGAGCTGAAAAACCCTTGTGGCTATAACATGGAGATCCTTCTTCATGCTCCCCACTTGAATAATTCTACACGCAGTTTGGCTATCAGAAAACCATTTAACATAACAGTTCCTAATTAATGGTAAAAATGACTCAATTCCAAACTCAATAGCAGACAGCTCTCTCCACGTAGAACTCTTAATGCGTTCGTCATCTTCCCATTGTTTATGACATACTTTCTCTCCATCGAAATCGAGATGGGCTCCGCACCCAACTCCACTCGCATCAGAACAAACTATGAAATGGGATTTCAGAGCAAAATCATGTGAAATACGTTTAAGGTTCAACGGACCCACGTTGCGCTCCCAAAACTTGATTTCCCTTGTGCAATACTCATCGAGATCAAATTTGCTATCCCAGTCTTGGGCAGCAGCAATGGAAATGGAACAATATCTGGTCATTATTCTTGAAAGATTCCCATATACAACCCCAGCAGAAATAATCTTTCCCACAAAAGAACTTAATTCCCGAGCTGAGACGATACACTGAYTGCCAAARATACGCAAAATAGCATTCTTTATACTWTCAATTCTTTGRTCAGAGATGCGCAAAGTTCCTTGGGCAYTATCCCACACYAAACCYAACCACTGGATAGAYTGCTGCGGATCCCAAATTGACTTCCCATCATTAGTAACAAGACCTGCACTAATTWAGTCCCTTTTAACCTGTTGAGACACTAAASTGCATGTGGATTCAGARTYTTCCAAAAACAATCCATCATCAAGAMACAAGGCCATATTAATCCCTTGWATCCTCCAGTACTTCTCCAATGGTTTAAGAACTTTTGTAAAAATGTGGGGCGCCGTGGAGAGGCCAAACGGCAGGACCGTGAAAACAAAAAATCGGAATGAACTGTCCCCTTGAAATTTCCAAGAAAACCCCAAAAAACAATGGTAATTTGGATGAATCTCAATRTGGTGATATCCACYCTTGAGATCAAAYGAAAACATGAAYGATCCTTTATGGAAATAAGAAAGAGCTACTTTCCAGTCCTCGTATTTAACCTTCTGCTTCTTCAAAAAATAGTTCACGTGTCTTAAATCAAGAATCAATCTTTTCTTACCACTGCTTTGAGCCGAAACACTTAAAGGATTAACGATAAATGGGGGCGAATCAACTTCTAGAACACGTTCACCACGGACTAACTCCATGATGGACTCTTCCACAAAGTTAGCATGAAGTAGAGAACTCTTATTGTTCTTTAAATGAGCTCTGGTAGGGGATTCTTCAAAAGGCAATCTGTAACCCTCCTTGATAAGGTCTAAAATAATCTGGAAATTCCTATATTAACCCAAAAATCGAAATGCCTGGCCAAATTTCCTTTAACATCCACATCTTTAACAATGCTCTCTTCCAATTCGGATTCACGGAGACTTACGATTAAATCATTTACCTCCATAACATTGTCCTCAAAGAAATTATGCTCACTTCGTACTGGTCTCAGAGAAAGTACTTCCTGGTCCTGATTTGGAAGACGMGGGAGTGCCGGTGTAAAAGAAGCCTGACCGATTTGTATGGGCTCCTTGCCATGGTTGCTGCAATCCAACTCTGCAGGTCTTGGCCCAGTGACCACTCCTGCCGCATCGAAAGCATCGCCCACTCTGAATATGTTCTGAATAGCCTAAAATAGCAGGCTCAAACGAACGTAAATTATTTTCTACCTAAATTCCGTCTAAATACAACAACACAACAAATGATGGTTGGATGCTCAGGCAGTCCAACCACGTGAGATTAACAAAGCACCACGTGAAATAAATCAAAACGGTCTTACCACGAAAAAGCTGATTATCACCAGAACCCTTAAATCTCTTGGCAGCAGATTGAGATTTAGCATCCTTCCTTTTTTCGACCGCCGCTTTTGCTTTGCGAATTTTCTTTTCATCTTCTGAGTCAGAAACGAGGTCATCAGATTCATATTCCTGCACGACCAACCATCCATCTTTACTCCGGTCTGCCAACTTAACCAGCTTCTGTCGCTTTTAATTTTAGCTTTAGCCTCGTCGACCAACGCTTGAATTACTTCAGGCTCTTCTTTGTTTCGATGTGCAATGGTCAATGGATTCTTGGAAGAGATCTTGATTACGATTTATTTTCTTCTTGGAAATAAAGATTGCGTGACACAGTGGTCACTCAGTGGTCATCATCAAAAAAAAAAAAAAAAAAAACACGTGTTAATCATAGTTAATAGAGAGGAATGGTTTGGAAGCATTTTTTGTACTTCTTTAGTACATCTTTCGTATGTATTTTGAGGTTGAATCAGTCAAGCCCGTGCACAACTTTTTCCTTACGGACGCCATGGAAATTGCAAAATGACTCACATAAACACCCTCTATGAGATTATGAAATGAAATATTTCAATATTGGTTAAAATGTTTTGTGCATTTTTAAGAAATAGCCAAAAGAATAATTTTCGCTCTGTTCATTCAGATGTGACCCTATGGCTAAAACAATAGTTAAACAAAAGATTGTGCACGGTCACGTTTGGGAAAAAGTGCACAAAAACCCTCAACAACAGGCTTCCTAACCATTTTCCGCTACAAACTATTTGTTAACTTATAAAATATACATGAAAAAAATATTTGTAATGACGGAGGAGCACGTTATTGATTACTTACGTTCTAATTCACTTCGTTCAAACGAACGTAAAATATTTATCTTCTATATTTCGAATATAAGTAAGACAACATACGATGTTGTAAATGG